ATTTTTCCCATCTCTAAGGTGCATATGAAAATAGCAAGCTGTTCCACAAGGAATAGACTCCGACACTTTTATCTCATGCTGGATAGCCACATGGTATAAAGGAAATTATGATCCCAACTAGGCAGGGATTACTGCAAACCACACAGACAACCCTGGGCAACTATTTGCATTAGCATGGGAACCTATACACACCTGGAGGGTTTAAACTGGTACTCACTTGCAGATTTAACTGGATATTTTGAGGCTGAGAATAAAATACCACTGCATTTCTAAGCCCACCTAAGTTAGGAGCATATACTTTCTAAAAAGTCAACAAAGAAAGGTAAAATCTTTCTGAACACATCCAACACATAACTGCTCCCAAGCCTTCACTGCTCTGAACTTCCACCCAGAGGGAGTTTGCTTTCTCTCCCTCTCTCCCCACTGGCAATAGAAAGAGCTTAGCCTTCCAGCCCAGAAACCCAAAGCTACACACAGCTCTAGCTCTTGCTTCCTTTAAAACTATGCAAAAAAGATTTGTTTTCACCATAAAAAAACAAACCACTCATGACTTCCCCCGTGAGCCTTATTTCACCTCTTAAGTGTTCCTGAAAGATCATAAAGAGACACGTATTTATGAGATGCTGCCAAAACACAGTGAGCTGGTGGTGATTTCATTTGTTTGTCCACAGCACTGTTCTCCTAACCAAGCTTCTTAGACAGCAGAGTAATGAATTCTGAGCAAAAGCTGCAAAAACATGAAATTAAATTTTCCAGAAATGCAAAACCTCTTAATTTTTCCTTAATTTTTATCTTAGATATATATTAAAATACCTTATTTCCATGCGTTTAAATTAGTGGGTGGCTACACTGCTCTAAGAAACACAAGCAGAACACAAAATCCATTTGAAAGGAAAAAGAAAAGGAAAATTTACTGTGGCGGAAAGGGAAAGACGCAACCATGAAGAAATTCTACAATGTCTTTAAAAGAGGGAAAATAATAAATCAAGAGGCAGGTATGTCTATGTAGCTGTTTTTACCTCCATGTACCTACTGCATTCCTCAATATCCTGCCTCCATAAAAGGTGTCGTCCAGGAGCAGTGTAACACTACAGGACATGCTACCAAGAACAGCCCATATCATTTACAGCCTGATTCAGTTCCAGCTGGAGTCACAGGGAATCTTGGTGATAGGAATGACCAACAAACTGCTAGAGCTGTAATCAGGAAAATGTAACAAGTCACCAGCACCATCCAGAAAGGTACAGATAGGATGGCCACTTAGGCAGGAAGATTCTTTGCTCCTCTTCAAGTATAGCAGCAGCTAGAGTGAGAGAGAGAGGGAAATACAGAAAGTCTTGATCTCGGTTGAATTGAAAGTCAGTGCAAATATATCAACAAAGCTCAGGCAAAACTCCGAACTCCACGCGCGCTACGGCTGAGCCTCACAAGCTGTGGCTTGTGGCTCTACTGTTGAAGATTTTTCTTCAACTTCTCAGATGTTTCTTCTTTACACGTACACATCTGCAACCGCACCGGCTACTCACCTACAGCCCTATGCTTTAGCCTTCTCTTCCCCCTTTAGCCACTCATATTTATGTCAAGATCAAAGCAACCAAAGCATGCAGACTCTTACTCCCTCTCCTTTCAGTATCTGGTGGGTTTTATCCTCCTTTAAGGCAGCATCTTTTATTTCCATGTGAACAACTGCTGTGCAACATTAGCGAGTCTTCCCTCTGTCCCTTTGATTTGTTTTGGGGGAGATGGTTGTATTGCATATTGCAGCTAAGGATAATAAATCTCTACAGCCACCAGAAATCTGCTCGAATCAGAGAAAGCAAACACTGCCATAGGTTTCTGTTAGAGCTAATTGGCTTGTCCATTTTACAGAAGGATAAATCCACCTGGACTGAGGATGTTTACAATTGGATCTCAAGAGTTTACATTAGGAAATGTAAAGGGGAAATTTTTCTTTCCCACAACTTCACATACAGTACTCATATATATATATATAATTATGTGTGTCTGGTTAGATAGAGATGATGATACAAAAGACTTGGAGTGATCAACAAATATTTTGAGAGCTTTATGATGATGCAAAAGACAAAAGCCACCACTGAGGTTTATGAGTCGCTTGGTAAAATGCTCAGCTACTTCCATGGCAATTTTTAGCATGATATCAGCAAATATCATCTCTGCTG